TCTCTCTCTCTCTCTCTCTCTCTCTTTCTCTCTCCCCCTTTTACCCTCCTTGTTCTCAGCTTTCTTTCTCCCTTTCCTTCTTGCCCACCCATAATGATAACTCAGAATTTCAGACTGCTTGACATAGACACCGAGGCTGAAGGCTTATGGTTGGGTAATGAGGTAAGCATAAAAAAGTGCAGGAAAAACTTCCGCTGACCTCTGCTGCTCTTTGTCCTCAGGTGTGTGTGAAGGAGTGTCCCAGCGAGAACACTGTTCATATGGCCATGGACCGTTCTCAGCTCATCTGCAAATACGCGGTGGATGTGAACAAGTCCCCGTATAGAGAGGTATGGCCTTTGTCTTTGTTTAGTTTTTGTGGAAAGTCATCTAATTTGTTTGGGAACATGCTTAGTTAGTTTCACGCTGGTCCAGTGTTTGAATTCCAAATGGAGATTTTTAAAAAACTGAGAGTTGTCCTGTAAGTTCTCAAGGTTTTTCACTATCTTTGCTTTGTCCAACTGGAGTCTAATGTGTGGCATTGTGGTGAAATCAGGCTCTTGTCAAAATATTGAAATCAAAGAAACATTTTTCTGTCCACTGGGCAATGTTTAATATTTTTTTCTAGCTTAACAACTTCTATGTCCATTCAAAACACATAACTGAGGAATTTAGTGGAAAACAATGAGCAAAAGCACAAGAAATGTAAATTTGCAGTTTTCAAAGACTCTCAAGCTTTGGAAGTGACCAAAGTTTGGCAGCCATTTTCTTGCTATTTTTACCTTTGACTCAACGCAACCCTCACAGCCTTCAATGGGAGATATCTCAACTTCTGTTCAAGATAGATTAGTCATTTTGTAATGAAAAAAACCCCAACAACAACAAATGAACAAGCTTAAGGATGATACCAATGAGTCCATATGCCCCAAAATTCACTCGCACCTGACTTGACCGCATCATTACACAATATGGTAAATTTGGAGGTAGAGACCTTCAAGTTCTGAATTGGGCATAGAACCCTATGGGTGCCCTCACTCATCTGGGTTTTGTTTCTTGCTACACCAAATGGTATCTTGGTTAATGGTTCATAACTTTAAGAACAAAAGTCTGACACTTTTGACAATATTCCTGTTTTGTTGCACTTATTTTTTTATATAGATTATTTCATGTCTTCACACCCAACTCACCTTTACGATTCAAGTGAATTAAAAGCAAATGTAATGAGATGATACTTAAGCAATAAGTCTGTAGTCTCAAAATATTGAAATGTGATTTTATGCATTGTTTCTCAAGCTTTCTTTCTTTTTCCAGTAGGAAAAAAAATACACTAGATCTGCATCGTATTCAGTTTTCCCTGAGATGTAAAGTTAAGGAAGATAATAATATGTTTTCTACTTGTGACCTTTGTGCAGATGTCCACCGATACGCTGGTGAAGAGGAACCTTTGTGCCTCGTACTACCTGGAGTCTAAACCCAGTAAGAGGGTTGTTGTTTTTTTAAAGCTCTTTATTTCTGGGAAGCGGCTGGTGGTTAAAACTACTGTGCTGGTGAGCCACAGGCAGCGACATGGGCATATTCCTTTACAACGACTTCAATGTTATATTAGTTTTCGGCCATTGCCAAAAATAGGTCTCCTTTACCAGAAGTTCTTTAATTAGATGAAAAACTATCTGAAGTAATTTCATTTGTTTTGATTTAATTATCCATTTAGTGACATATTATAGTCACTTTTAGGTTTTGTATCAAGAGAGGGCTACAGGATAGTTGGGAAACCCCCTCCGGAGATAAAGAGTTAACTTTCAGAAGTATCTTTTGTTTTGACTGGCATCTGTGGTGGTGTAGTTAGACATTAAGCCATCTCACTCAGAAAGCGTGAGGTCCATTCTCATGTGGGGAGGATTTTATTAGAGTATCTCTGTCTTTTTTGCAGGGATGTTGTATCCCTCTCAGCCTTGGTAGTCCCTGGCAGGCAGGGTCCCCCTCCTAAATAATCTAAATTGTGTGGACAGGAGTGTAAAAACACCTATTTTTTAAAAAAAAATGTTTTGTATTGATTATTTTATTTAAAGGGTGTTAGGAACGACTGGAATATTTTTTTGTTTTCAATCGTCCTAACTGATTTTGAAAAGCTGTTGTTTTTTAAAAAAATGTGTGCTGAACTGAAAATGGTTACTCCATATTACATCAAGAACCAAAAAAATATTTTCCAGTGTCTGTTCTGGTACTTGGGACAAACTGTGCACCTATTAGTAACAAGTTTAAACAAGTGTAATTCTAATTATGGACACTTATCACAACTTTTTGAAAAAGTATTCCATAATAAACAAGGGCTCGCTACACTATCTAATAAACGAAATCATAGACAGAATAACAGTATGCATCAAACAGGCTGCATCTTTTTATGACCCTCAGGGAGACTGAAATGACAACTTGGAAAGAATGGGCCAGCCAAGGGGGTTATTGTGAACTTGTGTGATGTCCGTCAATAAGCTCTTTGTCTTTTTTCCTCTCTCTAAAGTTGATTCTTTTCAGAACCATCAGTTAAATAGAAATGATCCCACAACAAAGAAATTACGGATATCATCAGGAAATGTGGTCAACTTTTGAATGACTGTTCTGTTTACTCTCTGTTCCTCTTTGACCAGTAATAAACCGCTGCATGCCGAAGATCTTCGCCAAAACGTTTGACCTGGCTGAGACGTTGGTGGACGAACAGGGACAGAACCAGCTGGTGCGAGCCAATGGGGAACAGGTCAATGGCAACCTGTTGAAGGAGGGGACCATGTGAGTTTGATTTAGTTTGGTATATATAAGAAGTAAGTTTTACGTTATGAAGCTCGTGACTGCATTAGGTCATATTGTCAGCCAGCTATTAAAATGTACAAACCCCAAAACCTTTATAAAAAAAAAAAAGAATTCCAGTTTCTTAATTTATGTTGTCAATTGCATGTGCTCAAGAAATATGCTGTCAAAATTCCCATTCTGAATGTTGGAAAAAAAAAATCAAGAAAAAAAAATCAGTGTAGTTCTCATCTCATCCAGTGCCAGATCCGCGACAGACATCGGCAATCATGGTTTTTCATTCATTCCTTTGCTCAGATGCTCTCAAAAAAGCTACGTTTCCCTGATCTTTTCCTGTTACCCATATGTTTAGGTTCCCTAAGTATGTTGTTCTGGGCCTACCCCTGCCTCGCTTGCCCTCAATTTTGCCAGTGAGAGCTAGATGTTCAAGACCCTTATGTTTATTCAGGTGTCCCAAAAACTGCATTTGTCGTTTCCTGATTGTGTTTAACATTGAGCGTCCCACGTGGGCTTCATCAAGCACTACCTCATTTGATTTCTTTTCCTTCCACGATACTCTTAGCAGTCTCCTAAGAAACCACATTTTTGTTGCTTCTATTTTATTTTCACTGTCTTTAGTGATTGTCCAGCATTCACAGCCATATAGAAGTGTTGACCAAACATAGCATTTCAGGACTTTCATTTTGGTGTTCATTGAGATGTTTCTATTTTTCAGGATTGGGCTCATTTTATTGAAACTAGCCTTAGCCATTGTAGTTTTCCTTTTTATTTCTGTGTAACATTTGGTGTCAGATGTTATCATATATCCTAGATATTTAACTGTTGGACTTGTTTGTTCTTTTCACCTTTGCTAATGAGATTACAACTAGGATTTGCTGCTTTTTTGGATATTACCATGCATTCTGTTTTCTTTACATTCAACAATAATCCTTTAAGTTCACTTTCTGTTACAACAGTATCTAGAAGCAATTGAAGGTCCTTTTCGGAGCCTGCTATTAACTCTTTCGCTACGTATTATTTTCGGCTTGTGGACGAATTTTTTTCGGGAGGGCGAAATGAGATGATGACTAGTGCGCAGTTCACAGGTCTTTGGGGCCATAAATTCAAATAAATATAAACATATTATAAACCAACATTTTCAGTATGGTTTGTAGAATACATCTGTATTATTTATTTGTGTATTTTTCAACTTTGGTTCCTGTAAGAGGCGATTATGCAACACAATTGTGATTGGCTGCGAATAAAATTTGAAAATAATAAATTAATCAGCTCAGATGAAACTCAAAAAATATGTTTGCACCTGGTCAAATGATACATCAAAATAACCATAACTGTATATAGAACAGGAAAATATTGAAAAATGAGCAGTTATTTACATACATTCCATGATATTTGTACATTTGGATCATAACTTCCGATATTGAAAAAAAATAAATTTTGAAATAATTTTGAAAAAAGGGTACTTTGTGGGTAATTTCAACAAAAAGTAGAGATTTTGGGAAGAAAAATCTATTTAGATCTAGGCCTAGATCTAGCACTAAAAAATATTGATTTCTCAATTACAATGCACTGGCAATTTGAGTCCACTTGTATTGAATATTATAAAGAAGAGTCCCACATTTCTTTAGTGAGCAAAATAATTATACATTTTGTTGTGTAAAAGTACTAAGACTGGTGTCTGGGCTATAATTTGGGCTTCGCGATAAAACAATGTCGCTTAAACTTTGAAATCGTGTTTCAAAACCGAATCAAAACTTCCGATTTTCGGTGGAAACGCTTGATTTTATCTTAACATGGATATGTGGATTGGAATAGAAACCAAGCTAAAATTGAACGTCGGTTCTCGAGCCGCCGGGGGCGGCTTAGCGTACTGACGGCACTTTAGCCGCGCTGCCCCCCACAGCTCGGCGTAGCGAATGAGTTAAAACTGTGTCATCTGCATACCTGATGATATTAATATTTTCTCCATTTACTTTGCGGCCTGGACATTCTTCTATGTTTCTAAGGATTGTTTCACTGTACATGTTAAATAGGTCTGGTGACATAACACATCCTTGCCTCACTCCTCGCCTGATCCTCTTATATTCACTGTATTCTCCTTTAATTCGTACAGCAGCGTTTTGGTCCCAGTGTAGTTACTATTGTTAAAAGAATAAAACAGTTTTTTCTCTCCTGTAACATTTTGTTTACACTTTAACAGCTTGTTAACAATATGAGTGTGGGTAGACATAATTTGGATATTTTCATATTAGTGCACAGCTTGGCGTGGGTTCAGTCTGCACAATCAGAATGGTTGGAGTGGTTACATCTTTTTTTCTTTAAAATATTTTTTAAAAAAATTAGTTATTCATTTATACTATATGACCATATTGTGTTGCAAGTGCCATAAAACTCTTACTTAAACTTATATTGATGTGTCTCTCTAGTGTTTTGAGTTGCCTTTGTTTTGTTGATCTTTCTCCCCCATCCCCCTCCTCGTAACACAATAAGCAGTTTGTGTTGGAAAGTGGACATACGTGATGAGGGCTGAGGCGCTTTACCATCACTTAAAGAAAAAGTCCGAGTTTGATTTCCATGTGGAGAGAATTTTTATTGAATATCTCATGCTCTCTCTGTTGGGATGATGTATCCGTCTACAGCAGGGTTGAAGCCTGCCTCTTCAATGATGTAAGCCGTGCAGAAGACATGACCCCAACTGATTTGGCTCTCTTCTTTCGCTGTGTCTGTTTTCAGAAATCTGGCCCACTTCTACAAGCTCAAAGGCACCATGGAGCTGCTGTTTAGAGATGTACAGAACTCGGCCCACCTCATTGCCATGTGAGTGCAGTGGTAGTGATGGATTGATGGAGGGAGAGATAGGTTTTACTTGTCTCTCTTCTCTCTCCTCCTTTTTTTGTCTCTCTTCTTACCTTACCTTCTCTGTCCATCTCTCTCCTCTTCTCTCCTCTTATTTTCCTCTCTCCTCTTGTTTCTCTCTTCATCACTTTCTCGCTTTGTCTCTCTGTCTCTCTGTCTCTTTCTCTATCTCCCTCCGTCTTTCTTCTCTCTACCTGTCTCCCTTTCCTTACCTCTCTTCCTACATCTTTCTTACCCTTCTCCCTCCGAGACCTAACATAGACAACACACTCTATGGAACATTATAGCAACTGCAGCAGACCTGCACTTATCACTACATGGCATTGGACAGAAGGGCGAGAGCCCAGCTGTTGCTGGATCAATAACAACAACAACAACAACAACAACCTACATCTTTTTCTCGTGCTCCCCTTCTCACCCTCTTCTTTTTTCACTGTTTCTCCCCTTTGTCTCTCTTCTCCATCTCTCACTCTCATCTCTCTCTTTCTCTATCCCCCTCCTCTCCCCCTCTCGTTTCCCCCCTTTGTTATCTCTTTCTCCCCTTTCTCCCACTCTTCCTCTTTGACTTTCCTGCTCTCTGTCTCCCCCCATGGCACTCTCTTTTTCAGCCCTTTTCACTCTGTCTCTCCATCTCTGTTTTCTGCGCCCTTGCCTTTGACATATTTGTGCCCCCTCCTCTCTCCACATGTATTGTCATCAGATTGGTGCCTTCCTTGATGTAGATAGTCATGCTCGGATGGCTGGCCCCCCCTCTCTCTGTCTCTGTCTCTCTCTCTCTCTCTGTCTCTCTCTCTCTCTCTCTCTCTTTCTCTCTCTATCTCTCTCTCTCTCTCTCTGTCTCTC